TAGATCGTATTTCTGACTTCTAAACCAACGAAAACTTTTTTTGTTGTAAAGCACAAAATCTGAACTCCAAATTGTTTATTGAACATTTTATCACAATGAAGAAAAGCCAAAAATCAAACTACACTAAAAGAAACTTGTTTCAACATTTTCGACTTGAAAAGCCTATATTTCTTAATTATTTTGAGTTACATACATCCAAACTCGAACAAAGAATACATCAAAATGTAGCACATGAACAATTCTATCAATGCCATCTTTGGTAAAATGTTTTAAAATTATTCTTGTCTTTCTAATTAGAAAATTTTGAACCATGAAATATTTGTAAAATTGAGTCTTTTGCAAAAACATCAATCATCATCATCAAAAATCATGCAAGAATGAATTGAATTCTCTCGGTATTATTTGTTCGAAACATGTCCAATCGTAGAAATTTATTAAAAAAAAAATTAATTAAAAAAAATACTTTTTATTAAAAAATGATGTTACTAGATGATGAAGTTACAAGGAATTTTTTGTAGAACTTTTGAATTTTCGGCTTTTCCTCATTCTCAAATTTCGTCTGGAAACATATACAGCTGATACAATGTATTAGACTTTACTTTTTCGAACAAAAAAAAAACATTGATTGATTTAGAAATCAACTACGCAACTTAATAGAGTTTGACACTTTCTCAATGACTTTTGCATCGTATATTAGATGGATAACGAATAGTACTTCTATATTTCTTACCGATCCTAAAACAAAAATTCTTAGATCTCATATGTATAATTAAATTGCACCTAATATTCCTTTACTTTACATTGACTAGATTTTAAAATGGATACCTAGCATAAACTAATAATTGATCTAATTCAAAGCTTATATTTATTAAATTTCATCAGATAATCCAATTAATAAAGATCGGCAGGTGCTCATAGCAAGAGTATTACCAAAACTTATACTAATGAGAATCATATTATTGTGAACATGGATGACGCACCAGCACTATGATGAGAAGCTATAGAAATTTGTGACTCCGCTGAATTTTCCACTCTCTCTCCTGCTATAATCAGCAATCTCCAAAATCTACCGCTGGATCAGGACTAATAGATAATCGTAAAGCAGTTCCTATATGTCTACGACTGACTATACGATATTTAACGAATTCGAACAAAAGAATTAAAATTTGATTAATGAAAAGCAATGGCTAATCTTCTTTGCTATTTGTTATCAATAAAAGTGGAGTTATCATTTGTGATTTGTTTTCTTTTTAACAAAATTCACAAAAATGTCTGGAAAAAATAAACTTGTTGCTTCACAATCAGAGAGTAAATCAACCATGTACTAATATTAAATAGTTAAACCATCTGGAAATGACAGTATCTTCATCTTCCTAGCTAATTATTACGTCTATATCAGACAATCTTTTACATAAATGTCAAAGTGAGACCACAATGACAAATATCTTTGAGTTTTTCCTACATTGTTTCAAATCCTTTTCTTTTTCAATAAAAATTACTACACTAATTATGAAGATCATAATGTACTGTCAGATGATTTTTATACTCAAGCTTTCATACATTTTGTCTTTGATGAAAATTAAATTCAAATGACAAAAATATGCACTATTCGGACAGGAGAGATAATATAGATTCGTTCAAAAGTTTATTACTTCCGTAAGAAAAATTGATCTTACGTCGCCCATGATTGTGTGTCAACATTGTTAATTTCTAAAAAATAATTATATTAGTCAAAAAACAAAAACATTCATCACATGAAAGAGGCAACTCGTATCTCTCATTATTTGGATTAACCATTCACAAAAAAAAAACAAAACATTGATGATATTTATTTTTGTTTTCAATTCTTCCGATCCAAAATAAAACAATCACACATATTTTCTTTTTAATGACATTCTTTGATTTTTAATCAGATTTCTTTCATATTCACAATGCTTACTTTTACTATCAACAAACATTCAATTTTTCTTTTTTCTATTATCATATTATTAATCATATTGTGTCTATAGCAATACTAATTAGAACTTATCGATGATTATTACACGTATCGAATAGAATTATATATCCGATGATAATTTGTTTAAGAAAAACAAAACAGCATAACTTATTCACGCTTATATGACAAAACCAATTGATACGTCACATACTTTATTCTGAGAATAACACTTATGTTAGTATTGTTGCAATTGACAAGACAAACAACTGATCTCAATATTGTTATTCTGGATAAAATATAAAGCATTCAAATTTGACACATTAAATACAATATTGCAGTGCAAATTTAAATATAACATAAATTATTTATGTGTGAATTAGTTACATAATCATTCCATCAATTAACTTTCACTCTACATTCAATTAGTTGTAGACGATCATCATTTAGAGTCTTATTGTCATGCATAGCTAATGAATTACTCACTAAAACAAATAATTCATTGAGTTGACAAACAAAAAAGAAACAACTGACTTGTTTTATTTTCTTTTTTTTTCAAGAACACTATCTTCAAAGAAATATGAAACAATAACAACAAGCTGGTCTAGGAAATTTCATTCATTTTCACAGTAATATATGTATTCATGTTGTGATAAAATAAATTCGATAGTCATGTGTTTCGGCGACACTTTTATATTCTTCTTCTTTTCTTTTCTGTATTGATCATTAGAAGAACATAGACAAAACAAGCATGATGCTGACAACTGATATGATAGATTTACTTTTAAATCTAGATAACACACAGTTCGATTTCACATTAATGTAATTTGACGAGACAAAAAAAAACTGAGATCAAAGGATTTTTCACACTTCATGATCATTTTGTCTTTTTAAAAAATATTTTAACAAGATCTTATATATATATATATTTTTCTTTTTGTCCAACTATGATCAGCTGATTAAATAAAAACGAAAACAAAAAAAACAAGATGTGTTTCCTTTTACGTTCGAAAGAGAGAGAAAGAGAGAAAACATTTTTTTCTTCACATCATTTCATTTTCAACAGCTGCACATACATACATACGACGACTGTCAGACAGTCAGTCAGTCAGACGTGTCTGTTTGAATAAGAAGAAATCTTCTCTTGTTAAAGCTATCTGTTCAATTTCTTCCTCGTTTTTTTTTTCTCACTCTCTCTTTTCTCTTCGTACTGGAAAAAAAATTCTAATAAATAATCGAGCATCTCAAATGATTATCACTAACAGTCTCTCAATTTACCTTAACTAATATATTGACAACAACATACAATGCAAACATCAAGAATTACTTTCAGTGACAGGTAAATAAATAATATGTTATTCATTATAGTGATAAGGGTTAAAGATCATAGTTCTAGTTAAAGAACAATATTCTAGAAATAACAGGTCTATCTTGTAGGCATTTTATGTTGAATAAAATTAAGCAATAGAGTTATTGGCTTTCGTACTTTATTTCTTAAAAATCATTATGTGAATAAATTTTTCTGGGAAAATCATTTGAAAAGATTATCGTCTCTTAGAGAAAATAAAATTATAGTGATATTGAAGTTTGACACTACTACTTTACCTTCCGTTATTATAAATGTTGTAACAAATGTGTTTTTAAGAACACCTCTTTCCGAGTCTCTCACGAATGTGACTCTACCAAAGATTCTGAAACTTTCAGGGTAGGTAAACCGCAACTAGTAGAGCAAAATCTGTTATAGATTCAGAATCTCTAGATGCTTCCTACTATGAGATATAGGAGACACAAGGCTCAAAAAATGATCAGAAGTTCCGTCCATAAACGGTCATAGTTTATTTTTTATGGCTGAATTTTTATTCTTTGAAAAATAATGTTTCCTTCGGTTAGCAAGATCAAAATACTGGAAGCTCTGTGAAAAAAAAACGTGTTTTTTTGCCTAGAGCAAACTTTGTAAGATCGGCCAAAAATCATCAGAACATTAAACAAAAATATATACACCTCCTTTTGATCCTAGTTGTTAGAGGGAAAATTTCAGCACAGTCGATGAAGCATTTGGAAGAAAAACAAAAAGGAAAACTTCAATTTTTCTGTTTGAAAATGACTTTTGAGCAAAAACGCGAAACAATGTACAGTTTTCACAAATTTGTTGGGTCATGAAAAGGATGATACCCCGCTTAAGCGAACTTCAGAAGGTATACGTAAACACGTTCTTAATAATCTAATGTTGATCAATTGGTATGTCTTAACTGCAAGACTTCAATGAAAATATACATTCTTTCTCAATAGGAATTCACTCCAGTTGTTTGATGAAAATTGTCAAAACAATATTAATTTCATCACCTGTCTACTTTTTTTTCTCACACATCCATCTTCTCGAACAGATTGTTCAATTCTTGACATGATATAATTATAAATTTTTTTGAATGAATGCATTTATTCATAGTCTATAATATAAACTAACTTTTTGTTCTTTTATTTCTTTCTATATGAACAATCTTTCGTACTCCTCTTTCTCTCTCTCTCTCTCTCTCTCTTTGATAGTGTTAGATGTGATTAAATCTGCATTAAAGTGCAAATGAAAACAACAACGTTGAAATTCGTATTCTAACGTTCTCTCTTTCCCTTTTTTTTTTGTTTTGTTATTTCTTTTCCAACGAACTTTTTCCCGGGAGGAAAAAAGTGTTGAAAGGATGTTATCCGTCATTGCATCGATCTCGTCTCCCACCCATTTTTTCTCTCTTCCTGTTCTCTTGCTGTGTCCTGTTCGTTGGTTTCTATATGTTTATTGAACACACGTTCAAAAAAAAGAAATTCGTTAAGCTCGACAAACGTTGAGAGAACGTAAGCAAAAGTAAAGAGAAGAGAAGCAAATATTTTTTCATCAATTCGAACGAGAAGAAAAAACATATTCGCTAGTTCAATGGTCGTCCCAGTTTCATCATGATGAAATGCACATAACATCACTCATTTTCTTCTCTATGTTGTGGTGACTATTATCTTAAGAGAGTTATCAGTTATCTATATATATATGAATACTTTATTTGATATTCAACATTGCTTCAATATGAGTAAGACAACATCTCCTTTAAGTTGTCGATTTATGTTACGGTAAGATATGCTTATGTATGTTTATGATTAAGACAAACATGAATGGCTAGCATTGTAAAAAGTTTTATTGAAATCTAAATGAATTTCGTTTTATTTTTTTTTATGTAGACGAACACCTCGACGTAAACTTGTTTTTTCTTCAAGTGATGATGAAACAGATGATAGTCCACAATCGACATGTTCAGGTATTAAATCATTTTATTTTTTTCTTAATAAAAGAAAAAAATATAGAAATTTTTCGCTTTAGTGCATATCCAACGAGAAGAACATCATTCGATTATTCATGATGAACAGTGAGTGTTCTTTTCTGTTTTTTTCTTCTTCACTGTATAGAGCATGGTTAGCTTCACATGAGCGGCGATAGATTTCGTTCTACTTGATTTATGACTGACAATTCAATGGCACTCAAGTATAGAGTGTGTGTGTGTGTATATGTTCGACCGTTGACATGTTTTTTTTTTTTTTCAAAAATTTTTTTCTCTTCTCTCATTCAAGTGCAACGATCTTACCCTCATTTTTTTCTCTCCCTCTCCCTCTCATACAATTATAGACAAGTGTCAACTTTCATGCTGCAAATGACGTCACGTATTCCTTCTTCCCTTAAGGTACATGGCTGAGTGCTTCCTACCATTAGCAAATAGACAACAAAAATAATAATCGTTTTGTATTTAGGTAACGAGAGAATCTCCTTAGATGTCTTCTTCCGAATTCAATGATTTGTTTTTGTGCCTATACATACTACGTAGTGTTCTAGTAAAAGGTATTGAAAAACTTTGTTCATATAGAGAACTCAACTAGAATAGCTTCCATAAAATAATTGACAAATTTTGAACAGAACCTCTTCGAGATCTCGATCCTTGTCCATGAATCATATATACATCGTTTGAAAGCATCATATTTCGAAGAGGCTTTGTTTAAAATTTGTGAATTTTTATAGAAAAACTAGTGCAAATGAATTCTCTATATGCGCAAAGTTTCAGGCGAAAATACGATTTTTCCAAAAATCTGGGAATAGAGCCGATCGAGTCCAAGAAGTTTTGGACTCGGACCCTATCTGATAGGCTCTACTGGTAATTCTAGAAAACAATTCGATAGCTTAGTCAATTCTTAATACCTTTTAGGGTTTTTGTTCGAACACAATTTAGTATTTGTAGAGAGAAAAACAAATCATTCAAATCAGAAAAGGCCATTTGAAGAAGATCGTTTCGTAAGCCAACTGACATTAAAAAAAATATGTTTGTTTCTGAAAATAGGTTGTCGACAAAGTCAGAAATAACAACAAGTATTGTAACACGGTCGAAACTAGAACATTATGGCTTTAGTATGCTTACTCGGCCAAGATCATTACGTTTAAATAAACGTCAATCATTAGCTATACTGAATCAAAATAAAAAAATTCGTTCATATGAACCATGTCATTCAATGCAAACAAGATCTCAATCATCATCGGTTTGTATTTTTTTTGTATGAAACATTTTTTAATATCTAAAGCAAAAAAAAATTCTTTTTTTTGCTTTCATAGGACTCTCACTCAGATCATCTTGTTAATTTATTTGATAAAACTCTTTCGACAGTGACACCAAATCCTGTTCGTAATCGACAACGACGTTGTAAACCATTACCTCTCTGTTTATCGGATAATGAAAAAAATATGCCAGTTTTAACGGTTATTACTACAGAAGAAAATTCGAATACAAATGTAGGAATATTTTTGAAAACAAAAAAGAAAAAAATATGTAATTTTTTTTCTTTTCATAGAAACGAAGTTATGATGACGATGAAAACAGTGAAAATTGTCGTTCAATAAAACGCAGTAAAATCTATGATGAAAATGATAAAGAAAATAATTTATTTATCAAACGTTCTCGGCGTGGTATTGGTGTATGTATTTAAAAGAATGTCTTATAGATGGTTTTTTAAATTAAATTTTTATTGTTGGTTTTTTTCTTTATTTGTTAGTTAATTCGAAGTTTCACTGAACCAAATGAAGAACAAATAAAAGCATCCGTTGAACTTGGTACTAATCGAGATTTAATTGGTGATCGTACACGTTCATATCTTTTACCAAGATGTCAAAGTCGTAAACATCCAGATCTTGCTTGTATAAGTCCTGAAACGGTAAGAAAATGAATATAAATATATAAATATATAATTATATTTTCTAGATGATTGATATATTACAAAATGTTTATGTATCTGAAATTGAAAATCTACATATTATTGATTGTCGTTATCCATATGAATATAATGGTGGTCATATTCAATCAGCAAAAAATCTTTATACACGTTCACAAATTTATAATGAATATTTTCATAAACCATTAGAATTAAAAGATACATTGAAAAGAAATATTTTTATTTTTCATTGTGAATTTTCATCTGAAAGAGCACCAACATTGTAAGTGAAATATAGGAAATTTATTTTTTAGTTTTTTTGTAGACTAATAAGAAAATTCTTATTAATAGATTGCGGTTTTTTCGATCAGAAGATCGTACTATACATGAAAGAAGTTATCCACAATTACATTATCCTGAAATTTATTTACTTGAAGGTGGTTATAAAGCATTTTATGAATATTCTAAGGTAAGACTTTTTGTCTTTTTTTTTTTTGATAAAATAAACGTTAATACGTGTTATTTTTTTTAAGCAATTTTGTATACCAAATCAATATCGAACAATGAATGATGTTGATTATCAAGAAGAATATCGACAATATCGTTTTGAAACAAAACAATTTGATAAATTTACAAGTGCAAATGAAAGAATTAATGGTGGACGACGAACACGTGGATTAACATTTCGTTCATTTTCTTCACAACTAAATCAATGTCGTTCATCAAATATTCGATATGATCTTCGATATATGGAATCTCCTCCATCAGAAAATTAAAATATCTTTTTCTTTTTGCTTTTTTTTTTTGTTTAAACAAAAATCATTGTACTCATCATATTGATGGATGAATATGAAATTTTCATTTTTGATCTTATATAATATCTATATGAAATACTCATTGTTGAGTAGAACATTCTCGTTTTCTCTCGCGTACGTCTATGACTCGGTTTTTTTTGTGTCATTGATTTTTCTCGCTTTTGGACGGTAGTGAAGATGATGAGACTGTTTTTATAAAATTGTCTGTTTTTTATATTAGACTAGGAAAAAGTTGATTTTGGTTTTGTGTCTTACGTATGTACGAAAAAAGAAGGGAAAAAAAAAAAAAATATATGATTGTTTGATTTTTATTTTATTCTTTTTTTATGATCTCTTTATTTAACTACGCAATCTCACATAGAAAGAGGAAAAAAAACGTTTGCTACAAGAATAATAATTATATAATTCCGTAGTTGACATATAATTAGTTTTTCTACGACATAAACATTCAACATATGTTGGTATAGGTCATTAGTTAGTGATATATAAAAATGCTATGTAGTTCTATTTGTTATGAAAAATAAAATAACAAACAACGAGTTTTTTCAATATCAATGTATTTTGGTATAATTGTTTTTATTGTTCTCAATATTGTATTGAGTTCAAATGCTGGTGATCTCTATCCAAGCTATAATTTATCAATTGATCGATTGAAAGTTTTTGAATGGTCGGATAATCCTGCACTTGCTTATAAAACAACTGTTCGATTATTTGATTATGATCATCATATATTTCAATATCGACGTTATCCATGTCAATATTTTTATACAGATGAAATTCAATTATTTTATAATAATGAAACATTAAATCAATGTTTATATAATACAACAAATAGTGATTATGAATATAGTTTTCAACTTCATTTTGATTCACGTCATATTGAACCATATATTTTACAAAATATTGCTATTCAATGTGATTATATTAATTGTAGTCTTTCATTATTAAATATAACATTTATACATATTGGTTGGAATTTGAGAGGTCGAGAAAATAATCTTGATTGCTCATTTGATATTGATCAACCATATAATATTATTCATACACCATATACTGTATCAGAATTGATTACACTTCGATGTAAATCATTATCAGCTTGCAATCATACAAAATCAAATATAGAACAATTTCTTCCATCATTTATTCGATTAATCTATGGTTCATCTTATGAACTTCAAATACCTTATTGTTCATTAGAAAAAAGTCTTAGTCATGTTGTGAATACAAATTTTGCACAAACAAATGGTCTTTTACAACAAATAATTGACCTTATGCAACGAAATTCTGTCAAAACAGATGGAGGTGAACAAGAACAAATAAAAGAATATGCTGAACATGTTTCAAATATAACAAAAGACATCAAGAATACCTGAAATCAGTTAATCAAACTAAATCATTCAAATAAACACTCTCACCTACTTACACTCATTGACTCCCCCCCATAAAGAAAAGCATTTTATTTTTTTTTATATATCCGAGTGACATCTATGTAATTTTACCTTGATTTGATAGATTGCATGTATTTTTTCAAAAAATAGATAATAATATTAATAATCGTAATAATAATAATAGTAGATGTGTATTGATTAGATTTATTAAAGAATATTCGATGGCTTCCTTAATCAAAAATCAAATTATCAAACGATTATCAAAGTGTGAAATAAAGAAATTTCTTTTAAATTTCGCTTTATTTTATTGAATTATTTTAAGGTTTGTCAAAAATCTTTCAGCAAATCAAATTAATTTAAGTACAATAAAAGGTGAAGGTGAATTATCATCAATAAATTTAGATGAAAGAGCATTAGAAGATGTTACTGAATTACCAACATGGCTTAAAATTCAAAAAGCAACATGTGGACGAGTCTTTATCAAAGTAGATAAAGATCAAATATTAAAAACAAAAAAAAAGAGAGGAAATTTTTTTTTTGTCTTTTCAATTAGATTCCTTGGACAAATTTAAAAACTTTACCAATTCAATTAGTAAGAAAAAAAAATAAGAAACTATTCAATATGATCTATATCATTTATATAGACATTAGATGATGTTATTATTGAAATCGAAACATGTGAGAAACTTCGTGATTTACAAAGTTCATCGAATGGAAATGATCCGTAAAAATTTCGTTTAACTTTTTAAAAAAATATCTAAATCTGTTTTCTATAGATTCATCGGTAAATATGGTTTTACTAATCGAGTTATCGATGGAATTTCATTAACAATTACAAATCTAACATTTACAATAAAATCACAAGGTTTTAAAGCATCAGTGTTTGTAAGTCAATATCTTATTTTAACTCTATTGAAATATTTTCGTTTCTTCTTCTTAGTTACCGTGTTTAGATATTTATAGTATAACTCCCAATGGACAAAAAGTTGACACATTGACCTTAACTCGTCTTCGTAATACTACTAAAAGTCATATTCTTCTTTTTAAAGTAAAAAACAAAAGCAAACATTCTTGTTTAAATAAATGAATATGTTTTTTTTTTTTGTGAACATGAAAGGAAATATCTTGGCCGAATGCACGTATTGAAGCATCATCAAATGATAATAATTTTCCAGGAACATCGATACGCTTTATTGTTAATTCATGTCGAATGAGAATTGCAATTAAAAAGAATCTTCAAGGTGCCTTTGTTTTTTGAAATATTGATTTTAAATAAATAAATAAAATTGAATTTTATTTATTTTCATAGATAGTACAATGATAACATCTCGTGTTATGACACATTTTAATGATCTATTATCAGTTCTTAATGATGCTCAATTAAAATCAGCATTAAATACTTATAAAGAAATAACAGAATTAATGAATCGAGCATCAGAACAAAGAAAACACTATGCTGAAGATAAATTTAATGTATGTATTTTAATGAAATTGATGTGAAATATTTCGAAAAAAAAAAACAAAAATTTATAATGAATTTTTGGAGAAAATCGAAGATTTAATTTCCTATATGAATAATGAAAATAATTAACTGATAGAGTTAGATTGTGTAAAGTTGGAGGCGGAAGCTTTTCTTGATAACAGTTAAAATGAAAGAAGAGAATCACGGCTTAACAAATGAATAATTTTTTATTAGAACAAGATAAAGACTCGCAATCTGTGTAAGAAATAGTAGATGTATACTTACTAGAGGCGGCGTTAGGAATTTCTCTTCGTCGAATCATTCCTGCAGGAAAACTAAGGAAATAATTATTGACAGTAATGACTAGATGGTTCATCGACGTCACACCCACTATTCGTCTAACTACATGTCTCTATCCTCCTCGTCATGTACAATACTAACAGCAATATCAGGTAGTTAAGCTTTCATGTCAACAACTATGTTTAACATGCATTATGCTTGAAAACAGTATCACATTGAATTCGCCATGATTTTTACTTCGAAAGTTTAATTTTTTAAACAATCTTTTGTATAAGCCTCGTTTCCTATAAAAAAAAACCATATTTGCAATAAGTTGCTGTCGACAATGGCGAGAATTTCGATAAGAAATCGCTATTTTAGTGTTGTTGAGAATATTTATTAATTCTTAAGTGCACGAAAAATAGTTTTTTTTATAGTAGTTGTGGAAGTACTCAGTGTACTTTTATTTTGTGAAAAATAGAAAAACATAATATATTTCAAGCACATGGTTCCTTTGTTTGGTATACTTTTCACATCTTAATCAACAAACATACCAGACGTAGAGTAATGAACAAAAGTTTTCCAGCCGTCATATCATACCTCACTAAGAACGTAGGTTTGAAACATGAGCTTATCCCACTTGTTCAAGTGAAACGAGAATTATGATGAATTGCATCTCTTCATCCTTTTAACTTCATAAGTCTGACAAAGAAGAATTTTGTGAGTCGGCATATTCTTCATTATTTAGTGGCGATTATTCGAAATTGAATTCTTAGTGTAGTATATGCACACAAATTTTCAGACCTTCAGCAGGTACAGTAACCGAGACACAGTCATTAATACTTACTAACGAGTCTTTGTCAGTGCAACCTAACAATATGAAATCTTGGAGGCAACCTTTGTGAAAAATGTGTGTAATTACATGAGTACAAAAAAAGTCTATTAAACCAGTCTCTCTAAAGTCACTGATTAATGTGAAAGTGGTCTTCTAACGTTTTTTTCTATGATGACAAGAATTTTATTTACATAGAATCATCAAAACAACAACTCACTTTTTTCATGCATTAGAAAATATATATAAATGAAATCGAATTATTTCAAAAAGAAGCTTATAAAACTTTTACTTTTTTGTTTTTTGTTTTAGAAATTAGAACGACAACGACAGTCATCAACATATGAACCTAAATCACCAACAATAGGAACTAATGAACCAATAAATTCATCAATGACTGGTCAACAATCGAATGATCCATTTACTCGATATGATATTATTGAAACATCATTACATTTCAATGTTAAACGATTAGATTTACATATGATTGCTGATTCAGATGTTCTTGGTATGTAAATAAATGAATTTTATTTTATTTTTTTTGTTTATATTTTAACAAAGACATTATTCTATTTTAGTTGATCGTCTAGTTGAAAATGGTTCCGTTCAAATGACAATAGCAAATTTATCAATTGATCATTATCCATATCATGAATCAGGATCATCAAAAAAACATTGGATAAAATATAGTGAAAGTCAATCAATAAATCGTACTGAATGGGTAACTAAATTACATGAAGAATGGTATGAACAATTCAATACTGCTAAAGCTTGTGTACCAAATGATGAAACATGTAAGTTGAAATTTTTATGCAAGAAAAAACAACAACAACAACAAAATATTATTTATTGAATCAAAAAATTTTAGCTATGAAATTCGAAAAAGCTCTTCGTACAAATCAAATTCATTTATTTGAATCATGTAGTGTTATAAATATTGATGATCTTGTTTTTTATCCTGTTTCATTAAATAATGATAAACGACAAAAACGTCGTCGACCATTAATTTCATCTGATAAAACATATTATCATTTACCAGATAATTTAGGTGTTATTAATATACAACATACGGAATATTATTATCCATTATCTTATTCATTTCCTGGTAAAAAAATCAAACAAAAACAAATAAATAATTTCAGAAAAGTATAAATAATAATTTTTGTTTTGTAGTACCCAATAGTGATTTATATATGCAAATAATGCCTCTTATCATTCGTATTGATTTTTCTACATTAACTTGGTTTGATGCTTTTATATCGACATTATCAATAACGATAGTAAATTGATTAACAGAATAAAAATTATCTTTTATTTTTCATAGGATAATTCAGGTATATTAAAAACTGATAGACCGGCTAGTAATCTTGAACATGTAGCAATTAAATTTGAAATTATGTTACCAAGAGTATGTCAAATTTTGATTTGATTTTTTGTTTTTTTCAAAGATCTACTTTTAGATTGTTATAAGTTCGGATATATTTTCTATTAATCGTAAATTACAAGAAATAAAACAAGATAAAAATTCAAAATTTGATATATCATTACAACAGAATGAAATATTAAATCAACAACAATTTGATATATTTGAAATAAATATTTCAAAAATTTTACTTACAAATACTCGAACAGAATTAACAAATAATCGATATAAACTTGAACAACATTTAGAATTACTTAAAGAAACAAATTTTTTTCAACAAACTCAATGGCCTTTTTCAAATGATACAGCAACAACAACACGATTTAGTCCATTATTTGAAAAACATCCATATGATGCATATTTATATAATAATCCATTAAGTAAAAACACTAATACTTTACCAGAAGCACCATCAGCTAGTACAGTACTTCAGACATATTATACAATGTCGACTGATTCAATGAAAAAAGTGAGAAATGTTTTGTTTGATTATTGAAAATTGAATACAAAGTTATTGAATTTAGTCGATCGAGTTTATTCGAAAGATGATCGATACGACTAATTTGAAAAGATTGCTACATATTTTTTCATCTGTTCTTCTCCCTCTTTGCTAAATAGAATTAAAAATAGAAGATGAATTTCAATCTATCTGCTGTTTTTCTCTAATTACGGACCTCTGGGAGGCATAAATCAACTACTCAACCTTAAATAGAAAGAAAAAGTTGTTAGTGCAATCCCTACGGGATTTAAATCTGAAGTACGATTTAGCTGCTATTGTTAATTACAGAGACCATCCTTTTACTTAATCTTCCAGAAATGCAATAAGGAAGTAGTTCATATATTATAACGTGACACTACAGTCTTTGATCGTACATCAACAACGTCTGTCACAGTCTGTAGAGGAGGAAAGTCCAAATTTTCATCCCTATACCTCAACAGTCCATTTAGGTCGTGTTTCACAAAAAAGATAACTATTCAGGAGAAAATCGAAATTCAATTTTGGTTTTGTATGTTTCTCAATATCAAATTTTATACAAAAAAGTACTGTTTTGCTCCTGTTTCTCCGACACTGTAAGAAGGATAGAATTAAAACTTTTCCCCTCATATACCTCATAGTCACTATTTGGCGTGAATGTTTCTTTATTTACAAAAATATTACTCTGATGATTTTTGGCAGCTTTCATAAAATTTGTTCTAGTAAAAAAATCCAGCATTTTGTTAACGTATGTTCGGTAATTTAGCTTTTTTATTGAAAATACAGACAATAAAAGAAAACAAAAAAGAAAACTCATACCCATCCGAAATAGAGTTCGATACTTGTAAAAAGTTTTTCAACTCGAAGAAACGGGGACGAAAAGAGAAGTTATTCTGATCAATTGTAAGCCCAATATCTCATAAAGGAAAACATTCGAAAAATTTGAGTCTAGCAGAACTTTTGCTCTACTCTTTAAGATCTATCTGCTCAAATTTTTGTTTTGATGAGCCGTTCTCTAGCAGGAGGGGTATCCTTAAAATGAGTTTACTTTAGGTTGTGAGTGAAAATCTATTTTCCAAAAAATAGAATTGATTTTTGAGAAAAAAAAATCTCATTTCATTCATCATTTTGTCTCTGTTTATATAGTCTGCAAAATATGATATTTGGAATTTAAATGTTGAAAATATTTATCTGGATTTTACACCATCGGATTCAATTCGATTAACAAAACAAAATATGATGGATACTTTATCAATGACAGGTTGGATTGTACTTGATCAAATAGAAACAAGTAATACATTATGAATATTTTTCAATTCTAAAAAAAAAATCTTTTTTATTATCTATTAATTAGATTCATGGTTAAATATTCTTGGTATTGTCGAAACTCCATCTCTATTAAAACTTTCTCAAAAACAATATACATTTATTTCGCATCTAGTCGATGAAATAGGTCTTTTTTTGGATGCACTTGAACGAAATAAAAATCAAACACATTTAATTAAAGAAAAACTTTTATTAAATACTTCTTCGGATGATATTAAAATAACAATCTGTTTAACGATTCCAACAACATTTACACTTGCTATCATGGATAATTTTGAAGATACAATTATTAATCATCTTACACCTACTCCATCAAGTTTATCTGAAGATGATATTGAACCTACTATGCGTGATACATCCGAAGCAAATGTTGTTATTGATTTAGTAACAACACCAGCACCCATTATTGCTAGTACAACGAAAATAGAAAAACCAATACCAAATAAAAATCTTGATTCGCCACGATCAAAGAAATCTAAAGGTGAAATAAATATTCAACGTGGATTAGAGATTGCTTCAAAAGGTTCACGAGGTTCATCCATATCATCATTGATGAATATGAGTGATAATAGTGATGAAACTTCATCTCAATGGGATCTTAATGAAGAATTAGATGCTGATATTGATGCAATTGTATTCAGTAATGATTTTGAAGAACAACAACAAAAAGTAACACGTATTGAATTAGATGATGATAGTAGTATTAGTTTAACAGGAAAAAAATATATTGGAATGCCACCAGCATTAGAATCGGTATGTTTGATACGAAAATGAAAAGAAAATTTTTTTCTTTTTTTTTTTTTGTGTTTTATATAGGTTAATGGTGTATTTATTAAAGTAAATCAAATAAATGCTTGTATAACAGAAGGTAATGATAAGCAAATGTATATTGCATGTAATGTAAAATATTTACGTATTGATGAATTTTCTTCATTAAAATTGGATACAATTAAACCAAAATTATTTGAAAATGAAAATCCAGGTATGATTTAGCTTTTCAAAATTCAGTTTTTTTTTTAAATATTTATTTCTAGATGAATATAATAATGAAAATGTTCCATCAATAAATGTTCGTATTGATTTTCCTAAAAGTGAATTATTACCACCACCAATTATTACTTTACGTATTCAAGATCGTTCATTAAAAATTACTAGTCATGCTATTGATGTAATTTCAAAAAATCTTGAAGAAATATTTACAAATGAAGAAAAAATCCTTAGAGAAAATCAACCACTTAAACTTCCTTCACTTGATATTCATTTAAACAACGTACAATTAACAGTTGAAGTATGAATATTGCTTTGTTTTTATTTCTTATAAAGGAAATTCTTCAACTGATAAATCGTCTTTGAGTCGAGATTACTTACATTGTATAGAACCAAATGAACTTTGAATATCCTCAAAAGAGTTTATGCTTTTAGTTTATTACTACGAAAATACTGCACTTTTACGATATTTTTTAAATAAATATCGTGGTAATAGACAAACAGATTTTCGAATTTCAACATGAAAATTCGCATAGAAACAGACCTTAACGAGAGTAGATTTTTGTGAATGTTGCAGATCGTGTCACTATTCCTCTCTTACGATACAACTAGAGGTGTAAGCCGAACGGCTGAGTCGCCACAAAAATTTTTTTAAATTTCAGTTGTCGTAGCCGATGTTAAAGAGATCCAGCCGCCCTACCACCGAAAGTTAAAAAAAGTTAAAGACTTTCTGCCGCCGTCGATCAACTCATCGGCTTGTACCTCTAGATACAACTATAGTAAAAGCGCAGATTTTTCATCACTCAGATAAATCGACAGATTTGATGTTCTTATTCCATGATAGAAGATAATCAAAAGATCTGAAACTACTCTCGTTAAGACCTGTCTCTATGCAAAATTTCTTCGTTAGTTATTACCTTTTCTTTTTCTTTAAGCCCCTTCATGAACTTTCAACAGCACAAACTGTTGTTGACATAAAACCACCAATCGAAGTAATTATCGAATGTATGCATATTCTTCGACAAATGGATGGCAAAGTGATTGTTCGAAAGACGAATGATAATGGTAAGAAATAAGCAATTTTGTTGAAGATTATTCATTAAATAGATAATCGATATATTGAAAATTTGTTAGATCTGTCTTTTGAAGCAAACTCTAGAATAGTTTTGTTTACTATTAGAATTCACCAGAGAAAGTTTTTTCATCACTTTCGTGAACTTTGATTAAAGTAGAAATGCAACAGTGAAGACGATAAACTTAGATTTGTTTCGACTTTTTCAATCGGGAAAGATTTATTTCAAGAAAATAGCTGAATTTTATAGAAACATGACTAAGCCACGATAACCAAGCTTTTCTCGAACGAGAAAATCGAACTTGGGAATCTACTTTTTGGATTTCATAATTGAGCTCTGTAAAACTTTTGAAATTTACTTACAAAACTGTATCTTACTATTCGAAAAAGCTATTTACTTTTACAAAAAAATCGATAATACGATTTCCTAAGAATATCTTAATAAATTGTCTTATAAAAGTTTATTTTCCTTGAAAATTTATCAGTAAACTTGAAATTCTTAATTTAGATGATAAAAAGCAAATAACTCCATCATTGCCACAATCAAATTCTAATGATGATATAAATGAAAAATTACAACAATTAGAAATATTTCGTCTTGAAAATGAACGACTTCATTCTGAATTAAATACTCATAAAACAGAAATACGTGTTTTACGTAGTGAACGTGATAGTTTAATGAGTACAATTTCTAAACTTGATATTGAATTAACTGAAGCTGAATATCAACGTTTTGCTCAACAACAATCAAGGAAAAAATGATTAAATTAGATATAGTTTTTCTTTCATCGTTGTGATAATTTATTCATGGTTAATTCGTTATTTATTATTCATTCTTTCAATGACGATATCTTCAATAATCTAATTTTATTTTTGCATGATTTTGTTTTTTAGTTAAAATATACTGATAATCCAGGGTTAAACAAAATTTATTTATATGTTAGATCTTATTTTTTTCTAATAAACTCTATTAGGGATAATGATCGCCATATTGATGCTAAAAATCATAATACAGATAATGAACAAAAAGAAAAAGAAACACTTTCTTTACCATCTATAACTGAGAGTGTAGGAAACGTAAAATAAAAAAAAAGATTATCATCGTTCAACCAGATTTAAGATGTTTATCTGACTTATCATATGAATTTTTTGAACGTGAACTTGTTTTCATACTTTTCCTTAATTTACTGTCATAATACGCTTAAAGTCAATTGGTTGAAAAAGACTCATGATAGTCGTGGTTATTCTTATATGGAATTTGAAGATGAAGATGTTGCATGTATTGTTACAGAAACTATAAAATGGTTATTTAATGTGTCACTCATCAATTAAATCTCGTTTAATTCAACGAAATAAAATTGATACAGAAAAATAATTTAAAAATTGGAAACGATAAGAAAAAAAATATGTACTTTACAATCGAATTGAATCAAATGAACAAATCGAAAAAAAAAATAGTAATCAACAACGAACAAAGACAAAAGAAGTTTTTACTGTATGACTAGACTTGATGGTTACTTAGATCTTGTCGAACCATCCTCTTGCGAATGTTTGAAATAGGTCGATCAGTTTTTCATTAATCTATTAGATCGATACTAGAATAGCTTGTAAATTTAAATTGTTATCTGCATTGATATTAATTGAAAGATTAATTAGAACCGAATTTGGAACCAATTAAAATAGGACAATCTATCTTAAATGTCAATCAGAGATGAGTTGGAAATAGATCCAGAAATCAACATCATCTGAAAAGTAAATAGTAACAGTGAAAAAACTTAAATATCTCTTGATTATTATTTGTTTGTTTGTTTATTTTGAAAAATAAAAAAATGTTTCTAAACTTTTGATGCACTTTGACATATGTGAATAAAATTTCAACTGCTTTTTATTCTAATGAAAAATGTTTAGCATCAATTTTATACTACGAATATATATATCAAATAAGTTACACGTAGCGTCCTATGTGCACACATATCTATATAGTCAACGAAGTGAGAAAGTCTTACATGTAGTCGTCTATTACTCATTTGCTTGCCAAATCACAACATGCATTGAATTGTAAGCTAATTAGTTAAGTTGTCATACAAAAATAGATATTTGCGTGTGAAAAACTTCCGACATTCCAAATCAGTTTTTCGAGATGTACTAGTTGGTTCGTTGTCAATAAGTACTCTACCACTATTTTCTCTCTTTTTCAGTTCAAAGTTTCTCGAAATTAAGAAATTTTTTTAAAAGAATTCATTGAAAAATTTCTGCCGCGGCCGATCGATGCATTGGCTTATACTTCTAGGTATCATTCAGTATAAATCAAACAGATGATCAATCGAAAGAAGAGTCATTTAGAATCGGAGTGATACAAATCAGGTCATCATGTGACAATCTAATGAAGGCTATTAGTCAATGAATGAATTCATTTCTGGATTATTGTAATATAAAATAATAAAAAGAAAGAAAGACTCTAGTTCTGATATATTACAGTGCGTCTCAACTGAATTTCCTTGCTTTGTTTTTCTTGTATTCATATCAAGCTCTCTTCTCAAAAATTGATCTTGGCCCAGGCATATTCAAATCGCATAAAATTTTCAGCCCTATACCATGATGTTTTTGGGAGATATTCAACAAACGAGGGTCAAAAATAGTTTATTTGCCAACCCCAAATTCTCTATGGGCCTTCATTCTACGAACTTAATTTTTTTTTGTTTGAAGGAGCCTGTCAGGACGTAGAGCACGACATTGCCCTTTTTTTTTCAATTATTACTCTTTAGGGGGAGAAAAAGAATGAAAAATTCAATGTCTTAGAAAATGGCGTTCTAATTAATGCAGTACGAAGCACAGCATTTATATGGTCGGTTGCGTACGCATTCGGCCTTCGTACTTTGCCTATTTTTTGCTGTGACAAACTCTGTACTTGGTGTTACGATGTTCTACAGAATGGTGAGTCGCTAGAAACTCATTCGAACTATGTCAGAGGCTCATATCTCGAGATGATACTAAGGGCTGATCAGAAATTCTGATCATCGTGTTTAAAATTTTATGAAATAGTTAATATCGAAAGTTTTATTGCAAAGTACCCGAGGTACTTACAATTTTGAAAAAGCACTGTGTTTTGCACTTTGCTAGAAAACACACAGTACCTTGATGGTACTTTGTAAAATAAGAAAGTACTTTGCTTATTTCTTACACTATTATTTAGAAGTTACTCATCTCCCTATTGTTTATTGATTATATCGGTAGATGAGATGGAGCAAAAAGAAATTTTCGTTTAATCTCATTGAATTTAACATTGAAATTTCTTTTTATCTTTTTCAGATTTTCAATATTATTTTTTCTAATACTTTCTTCATTTCTTCTTATCATATATTTAGATCTAATTCATGATTCCCGATTATTTTTTGAAAAGTGGAAGGGGCTAAAATTTCGAAAAGTCTGAAAATTTTGGTAGAAAGTGTCTTATCTGACTTCATTAGCAGAAATCGAACAAAGAATACTAAATAAATTAACTTTCTGCGAGATTTTATTGACAGAAAATGTTTTTATTCGACTTTCTACTAGAATTTGCTATGAAGTTTTCAAAAATTTGGCAGAAAGTTTTAGAAAATTTCTCAGAAGCCGGGTGTAGTTTTGATTTGTGTTGGAAGTTAGACTCTCAGCCCTCCCTAATCGAAGAGCATGATCTCATTCCATATATGCGTATTTAATTAACTGGTTCTTTGATTTTTATTAAGCAAATCTATGTTGTGGTACTTTGAGGTACTTTGATATTTAGAACAAAGTACCAACAAATACTTTGTCAATCGAAACGAATACTCAAATATACTGTGTTTCAGATTTCTATTGGAAACACTGCTCACATGACTATGTTCTATGTAATAATAAAACGAATGATCTACGGATTATTTCAGACTCCAATAAAGAAATATATTAATTTATTTATGTCTCTATGATGATATCTAACAAAGGCTGTTATATTCATTGGTTATCTCACTATCCTTTCCTACATAGTCGTTGTTTTCAGTTACTGAGAACAAAAAAATAATCCGATAAAGTTGATGATCCATATGATTCTACTGACGAGAAAACTACCCTAAATGATTCCGAGTTTTTAGTTTCATACTTTGGCTATAGGTAGACCTCAGTAAGACTAAGAAAACCCGTGAAGCGTTTGTGCTTATGATCTGCTAGTGCAAAATTATAGTCGTTTTACTGAATTTTTAACCTACGGTATGGATTTGTAAAACAAAGATACAGTTGTTTTATAGAGCAAGAAATTCTCTATCGAACGAGCCAAAAATGAAGCTTTCAAAGCATTGGAAAGTGTTCAAAAACGAGGAAAATATTTTGACCCGTTGATTATGCGCCATTTGTTATTTTCTATAAGAGTGATGTTAATTAAAGTATGTGAGATCATAGCTGACTGATTTTGATCTTGATTCGATAATTAAATCAAACTAATCGTATATTTTCATTCGATGGAGACTACAAATCATCTTGAAATGATATCTAAATTACGACAACGTCTTTTACGTCTTATTAAATTAGGTGAACCAAATCAATTACGTTCAACAACACAAATAAATAATGATAATAATAATAATAATAATAATACTAGATCATTAATTGATTTAACAGCAAACGTTGAAGAATGTGTTCGATGTCTTTTCAATAATACATGTTCAGTTGAAACGTTTATTCAAGATGTACAACGAATATTAAATGTTACTATTAAAAGTAGTTTAAGTTTCTTTCTTACCGAAGCAATTCCACTTGCACATCAATATTTACAACAACATCAATATGATCCACTTTCATGGGAAACATTTAAAGCGATTACATTACAAACATCACTATCTGCAGGCTTTTTTTTTTAGTTTTAAATAGAAAGAAAAATTTATAAATATGAATTTTCTATGTTTAGGATACTAATTCTAATACGCCTAATATGACTCGACTTCCATCATTACAACAAGCTTGCTTTCGTCTTCCACCATCATGTCCACAATTCATTGATCTTACATCATCATTATCAACTCGTTCAATACAAGAACAAATATTTATAACACCTAACATACGAGCAGATGCAAATCCATATGAACAAAAATTAATTAATCGTTTTGCTCGACATAATTTTTATTTAAATGAATGTGGTGAACATTTATTTCTACAAACATTATATACATTTCTTAAATATATTATTCGACGTCTACTTTTTTTTACTCAACATCGAATTGATACACGATTATTAGATTCAACTATATATGAAATGACAAGTAATGTACGTGAACAAATACGTTTTTTATTTGAATTAAATAAAGTACAAAATGGTGAATTAAATAATAATCTTAATAATAGTATATTTCAACGAAAATTCGAATCAATTAATATAATTGATGAAGAACAAAAACGAACACGAATACGCGATTATCGTTCATCAATTATTGAACAATTACGGCAAAAAGAAGCTGATGAAACAGCATGTCTTGTTTTACGTGAAAGTCGTTTAAAACGACAAAAATTATCAAATAATAATCGAAACATAATGCCAACAAGAATTCTTCGAGTTAGTTTACAAGAATTTATTGCTGTTATGGAAAGTGAACCGATATTAAAACGATCAAAAACATTATTATATGCTTATGCAAATAGATAATATCATTATTGTTCTCCAGTATACACCTGTTAAATTAGTGTTTTTCATTTTTTACCTGAATAAATCAAGCAGAAAAATAATATATATCCATATATAAATCATCCAAAATAGAATTGCATTCTATAGACCTCTGTCGATCGGCATGTGAACTGGTTGTATTATAATCACCAAGCTAGATGGCTTCGTTGAATACGTTGCCTGAATGGTTGAGAATGAGGGTATTCAAGTACAACGTCCATAAATCTTAGTTTTGTACATATTTTGTTATAATGCTTTTCCATCGAACTCAATATGCTCAAGGAATCTCAAAAATATTCATTCAACAGCGACGAATATATACTGAAATATATCAATTAGAAGAATTACAACGACTTTATGATTTATTAAAACATGAATCTTTAAGTAAAGTTTTTAGTTTTTATTGATTTTATTTAATTGATTTTTTTTTTCTTTGAATTAGGTAAAACACATAGTCTTTCTAAAAAAATGGATCCAAATGGAATATTTTCTAATAATGAATTAAATTTACAAAAAATACAAGTTTATGGTTTTGATTTTGGTTTGTAATTCTAATTTATCAAAATAAATAATGTTTACTCTTTCGGGTTTTTTTTTTTCTATAGATTATACATTAGCACGTTATAAATCATCATTACATTCATTAATTTATGATCATGCTAAAGAATTTCTTGTTAAGAATTTAAAAGTAAGATTCATTATTATTTCTATAACTAAAAAAGGCAAAGAGATAAATTCTTTTTTTCCAAAGTATCCAGATGATTTAATGAATTTTTGTTTTCGACCTGGTATGGGTGCACGTGGTCTTCATTTAGATATAAAACGTGGATGGTTAATGAAACTTGATAGTTATCATAATATTCAATTAGGCACTGTTTATCGGTAAATCTTTAATAAAATGTTTTTTTTTTTTGATAATATCTTGGTTTTTCTTGAAAGTGGTATGAATGCAATTTCGGCTGAAGAAGTAATAGCTGCACATAATGGTACAAAATTATCAATTGATATTGTTGGTTATTTAGGGAAAACAACGAATATGTTTCAATTTGTCGATATATTTTCAATTCCTGAAATAACACTTTTACGTGATGTTACTCAAGTACTATGAAGGAATTTTTTTTTTTTTTTTTTTTATTTAAATTAAGATTTTTACTTTAGTATTTTATTGACAATAATATTCCATTTGGTTCGGAATATGTATTTTATGATGTTACAGTTTGTTTAATAAACCAAATCAAAAAAAATAAAATAATTTAGATTATTTCTTTTTTGTTAGGAAGCAGTTACTGCTTTTCATATAAGTGGAATGATGCATCAAATAGTTGGGAAAGATGTTAGTAAGTTATATATTAAAATGAATATATGAATAAATATTATTTGAAATTAATTAAAAATAGAAACTTATTTTGAAGAAAATAATCGTTTAAAATCATTTCTACAACGTCTTCATGATGCAAATAAACAAATATTTTTAATAACAAATAGTGCTTATTGGTATGTCAATCGTGGTATGACTTATTTACTTGGAGAAAATTGGCGTGATTTTTTTGATGTTATTATATGTCAAGCTAGAAAACCATCATTTTTTGGTGCAGAACAAAGGTTGAAATTAATTTTATATTGAATAAAAAAGAAAACGAAATGTTTATTTTTTTTTTATTTAGACCATTTCGAGAGATAGATGTAGATAATAATTCTAAATCATGGAATCGAGTAAATAAATTAGAACATGGAAAAGTTTATGTTGAAGTAAATTATTAATATAAAAAAAAGAATTTTTTTTTGTGTTCAACGTTCAATTTATTATAAGGGTAATCTCGCAGATCTTATAGAAATGACACATTGGAAAGGAAATGATGTTCTTTATATTGGTGATCATATTTATGGAGATTTAGCAGTAAGTTATTTCATATATATATATATATGCGTGAATGATATTGAGTTGTTTATTATTAGGATTTATTTCTTAAATATGGATGGAGAACAGGCGCTATTCTAGAAGAAGTTGAAGTGAGGAATTTTGTATAAAATTATGCGAAAAATTGAGAATTGTGTGTTTTTATTGAAGGAGGAAATAAATATAATTAATTCTGAATCATTTCAGAAAACAATTCAATGGGTAAAAATGATTTTAAACAAAAAAAAATAATAATAATATTTTCTTTTTAATTATTTTATTAGTTAAATGTTCTTCAATGGCTTATTAATCACTTACAAGTAAGATTATTTTAATTTCAAAATAAAAATAAAAATCTTAATCCTTTACCTCCGATAACAATTCTACAAGGGTCACAAATAAAACAACTATTAAACAGAGTATTGGCCTCTTCAGTAAGCCAATAGTTTAAGCAGGTCGACCAGGTGCGCTTTCCTGTATGCAAGATAATTTGGTAACTTCAGTTGCCATTAGAAAGAGGTAGCGACATGAAAAATTCTATTTTTTACCTTTTGTGAGTAGGGTGTGAGGAGTTGTGGGTACTGATGGCGTGAGACAGGTGATGGGCTACGGAACGGATGCCACCACCAAACATTTATATAACAGGAAATGATGCTTGTATTTATGAATAATGGCAATCCGTTTACTTATCTATGCATAAATATTAACAAGTATTATGTTTTTGTGAAAATGTCTAAAAATTTTTCAATTAAAAGAAAAACCAAAGAGGTCCTTATAATAATAATGTTATAGTTTTCTCTGTTGTAAGCTGTATATCTTGAAGACAGAGTAATGATACAAAATGCTTTTGTTTGCCAATTGGTAGCTTAGGGAATCCCTTAAACATAATGTCCGAGAAGTTTTTTTTAATATGCTACGTTTTGCATTTTCTGCAATGTCACATTTGGAAAAGTTGAGGAATAAAAATATGAGTTTTATCGTATTAAATAGACTCGAGTCATTTACAGTCCTGGACAGAAGTATCTGCCGTCCATGAAGTACTACTATTCTTTATAATATTAAGCTGATATTTTGGATGTCTGCATACAATAATAAATTCTAATTGCAAGCACTAATCCGCTCTCCATTGATTCACATGTACTGATGTCATAATCTAGACATCAGGATGATGTAAGCTCTCATGGAGCAGGACTATGATTTACCTAAGATATAGAAAATATCATTATCTCGTGAACATTATTCTTGAAAGACATGATTTATATTAAAAAAATTGAATATTGTTTTTTGTTTGATATTTAAGATCATTCCGGGTCCTGAAGCCGATGCTTTAATGAAAACTTGGGTTGCTGAACGAGAAGACGAAAAGTAAAAACTATGCGAAAAAAAAATTTCTCTTCTTTTAATACTTTGTTGTTTTTTTTCTTTGTTCAAGAGCAAAATCTCGTGATTTATTTAATCCATATTTTGGTTCTGTCTTTCGTACACATACAGTACCGACATATTTTCATCGACGTTTAGCTCGTTTTGCTGATGTTTATACATCGAATGTTTGTAATTTTCTCAGTTATCCAGTAAGAACAAAATTCTTATTTATTTCATTCTACTTTTTTTTTTATATTTCGTTTTAATATAGCTTGATTATATATTTTTTCCTCGTCGTGTAGCATTAGCACACGAGAATGTTTTACCAACGCCAGATATTAATTTACTTTTAATGGATACTGCTCACCATGCCATGCGTTTTGAGACAGCACACGTTCAATATGAAAAATGAACACAAAAAAAAAACAACATGAAATTTTTTTTAGCTCGATTCCTTCTCATTTTTATTTCTATGTTGTATTTTTTGTTTTTTTGTAATAGAATAGATATTTTTTAAAATATAGTCCTTGTAAAAGGTTTTGGGACACTCAACAATAGTTCCACAATATTTTATGCTTCACTTGTTTCTAACTGTAAGCATATGTATTTGGCATTATTATTACTCAAGTTTTCTACAAATAAGTAATCGCCATTTGATACCAGAAAAGTAATATCAAACATAAAATGTCCAACAACAAAAAGTTCTTGAACATTTTCGGTATCCTTCAATTGTAAATGGTATCAATGGAAAGAGCTTCAAAAAACTGAATATTGTAGATATGTATTCGTTTTGAAGATTATAACAGATAGAGGTTTTTCTTTGGCTAACGCTAAGGATCAACAAGAAGCTGTTAAAAAACTACTCTACAAGAGAAGAATTCATCTTGACGAGCAGAATAAATTCGACAAAACAATATATCTTCTGATTCTCTAACGTATCAAATATACGCATTGAACGATAGCTAAACAGAGAAATCTATCTTTTTTCATGTAAGAATAGCTAAACTCTTGCAAAATTTTTGATTTTTAGTTTGTTCCAGCTTGTAGTACATTATTTGATATGCTAGAGAGTTCGAAAATGTATTGTTTTGTCGAGCTTATTCTACTCTTCGAAATCAGTTTCCCTCTTTCATAATAGCTTTCTGTTGATCACTAACATTTGTCAGCGAAAAAATCTCCAAAACAAAAATGTATCTACAATAAGCAGTTGTCCAAGTTCTTTTGTTTGAGAGTAGTGAAATAATCTTTGAAAAGTCCAAAAAACTTAGTTCAGACGAAACTTGTGTACCAATGTTTTCGGTGAACATATTTGTTCATTTTGGCCTGCTTGAAAGCATATCAAACGAGCCAAAAACTATAGATCATGACCAGTATTTGAATATTTGCTTAGAAATATTGTATTTATTTTTGTTCAAAAGTAGTGAGGAACTTTTTCAAAGACCTGAAAGATTATTTTTAATAGTGATCCAGCAGATTTTTGTTTACTCGATAAGTACCCTTTCGAACGTGATAAAAATTGTTGAAATCAGTCGTTTTGTAGAGTGGACACACTTCTCTACAACATGCGGTATTAAACTAAACTATTGTTTTTACTCAAGTGAGGCTACAAGCATTATTCAAGTGCTTCTTTCAATGTAAAATGATACTTGATTTTTCAAAAGTGAGTATATAAGAAAAAAACGAAGATTGAAGTGCCTTTTCGAAAGATAAAAAAAACCTTGAAGAAGTATATTTTGTAGGGCACCTGCTGATCCGTAAGCTGATATATAAATAGAGATCCCAAATTTAACTTTCGAATCACAACAGTGAAAATACAAAAATTTTCCGTCTAAACTAATTTTTTGGAGTTTTCAAAGATTATTTCATTACTTTCAAACGCAAACTCAGACAAAATTTTTAAGTCTATATTCAAAAAGAGCACATAATCATAGCTTTTAACTCTTTGGAAATATGTCAGAAGTGAACGAACAATTTGTCTGAGAAATAAATGATAATAAACTTGTAATTGATAGAGAAATTTTTGAATTAAAATATTTCAGGTAGAAGAAAATGATTTAATTATTATTATATTCTGCACATATCTAAATCGATTTAATGTTAATATAACTCGTACATTATTACCAAATTTATCTGAAGATGAATGAATACAAATAGGAGAAAGAAAAAAAGACTTATTATTTCGTCAATTTGCACAAGAAAAACTTCAACTAACAAAAGGTCTTAATAAAATTCTTGAATATATTAAACAAAATTGAATAAAATTAATAAAACTAAACGTAAATAAAAATTTCTTAAGGATTAGTAACAAATACTACTCATCAAGTCACTAAATTTGAATTAGATATGTTCAATATTGATTTAAAAAAACATTCTTTTAATGCTGTTCTTATTGCTGAAGAATTTGAAATCGATAATTTTTTTTTTGTTCTTTCAAAAACAAATGGTAAACCCAAACCGAATATGTATTTAGAATTATCTCGACATTGTTAATGTTGATAAAAGTTCATGTATCGTTTTTGAAGATTCAATATCCGGTGTTTAAGCTGCTGTTACTATTCAAATGAAATGTATTGGAATATTGACATCAGCTGAAAAACAAGAAACATTAGAATAATATGGAACACGGAAAATAATAAAGAATTTCGAAGAAGTTAATCTTGATGAAATATGAACTAGATTTTAAACTAAATGATGTAGGCATAAAGAATAATATTATGTGATAAATGTCTTCGTTAAAGAGAACATTATTATGGATTGATGTGATCTATAGTTGAATAAAGTCCTTGACGTATTTGCTTAGTTTTAATTTGATCAATTTATTTCGAAGTTTATTGTTATGTGTAGTGATTGTATTCGGAAAATGTAATCAATCATATTTCCCTTCTTGACAACAAAATTAAATAGAAATTTCTATCAAATAATTTAATTAAAGAGACAATAATGACTGAAACAATCAGAATAACATTGCTTGATATCATATTCGATTTTGTTCAATTAAATTAAATTATCTTGTACATTCAATTTTTTCATAATACATGTGTATAGGAACATTGTCATCTATAGTATTTACTGAAAAATATTCGTCAATATTATACAGGACGGTCCATACATAATACGGCGATAAAACATACCGATATTTCAGCTTCAGTTTAATCAAATACGCTGATTTTTTGATTTTTGAAATATACATCAATGTAGTGTCATCAAGAGAGAAACAACGAGGCTTTGATACTCCGAAGTACCATACTTCGGAGTACTGAAGTCTCATTTTTTCTCTCTTGAGTATCATTCATGAAGTTTGTCTTGATTACTTCTTGTTATTCTTTGAAATGACAACTGAAACTTCTCTATCCTACTTGATACTAGGTAAAATCTTTTTTAATAATATCAATAATAATACTTATCAATAGAGTTTGTTTATATTATTCGTAAAAAAAAACATTTAAATAAACTTCTACCGCCAACCAAAAAAATCAGGACATTTGATTTTACGATCTTTTATTGTCGTTTTATTTATGGGTCACCAGAGATATTTTCACTTGTTAATTCACATCAAGTATGAAAAGTTAATTTTGTAAACTTTCAAATATCTTCTTATTTTTTTTTTCATGCTTTATTATTCTAAATATTTGATTAACCACAGAAATCATAGCATCGATACAAATAAATAAAATTGATTTTGCTTTTAAGATATATCTGCTTTTGAATTCTCTAAACAATCGATTGATTGTTTCAGAAACGAGTTTATATTCATATATATATAAATATAAAGTTTCAAACAAGAGAAGAAACAATAATTCATATAGTTGTAGCTTCAAATATAAATGATTATAAGATTCAAGCAAATCCCCTTAGGGCTTTTCAATATAATGAGAAAAAGAAAATGCCAATTATAGTTCATTCATTCTTCTTTCTTCTCGGCTTTTTTCTTTCTTTGTTTCGTATATATCCTTTTTTTCCTCTTTCATGAATTCATTAAAATCACATATGATTTTTCCTATCATTGAACATCGTGTTGATCGAGAAAAGAAGCATCCGTCGTTTCGCTTCTCGTTTTTATAATCAGAATATTGAATAGAAATCTTAATAAGATGACATTGAGTTGTTTTACTTAATTACTTTTTTTTTAATGTTCAGCGTCAAGGTTAAACAAAAAAAAAATTGTATATAATCGATAAAATTATTCGTTCATACTTCCTTGTTGTTGTTTTCGACTGATTATTCATAGATGTATAACCTAATTGAAATTCGAATGATACACGATGCATCCGTTTCCGCTTGATAATCAAACTGTTTTAAACTTTATTACATACACGTCCTCTCGCTTTTCGAATAAATCATTAAAGTCTAGGACAAGAATTAAAAAAAAGATAGCCAAAGCGAAGCTTGATTTTGACATGATCAACTTAAAACAAGCAGAAAGGGAGATGACTGATGAAGATTATAAAGGCGACACAGCAACAGTATTAATACTACAATGATGCAATCACTCGTGCCGCCCAATGATCAGAGTACATACCCTAGGGATAAATACGAGGCCAATAGTGGCAATCTAACGAGAAACTCATGAACCCCCAAAAGGAGTTTTTATACTAATTGTATAGCAAACGAATAAGAAATTCTAGTTGATCTTATCTTAAGTCAAGCATAATGTACAAGTCTATATGAATTTTCATATTCATTAGATGTCAATGTTGAAATCATACACACATAGGAACATATAAGATTAACTTTTTTTTTTTCTTCAGAGCTATACTTTCGATGATATCTTATAATGATTTAATATAATGATTAAGCTATTCCTTCGAGTTAATGAACAGTGGCGATAATAATTGACAAGTATGCCTTTCACTTCATTTTCTTTTTTTTCTCGCTTTTCATAGATTTTTAATAACAAAAAGTATTAAGCTTACACAATAGTCAAGGACATATAGAATTAGGCTAATAATGTAGAATGAAAAATATATTATATTCTTGCGATTTTCCATATACCTAAACAACAGATCATATTAAATGTCTATATATCTGTCTATCTGTCTTTTTATTCTTTATGTTTCAATTTACTTTTGTTTATATATGTTCACATTTATAGCGTCATTTTTTCGTCATCACTACTACTATCCGCTTTCTCTTCTTTTTTTTTCTCCTCTCTAACAAGAGAAAAAAGGAAGAAAAAAAAAACTGTTCAGTTCCATCGATCCCACTCGTGCGTTCTCTCGTTCGCTCGCTCGCTCGCTCGCCCGTTCATCATAATTGGCATGAAAATGCTCCCTCGAGAATAGATGGATTACACACACGCAAATCATTATTAGTATATACACACTCACATTCATTCTCACAACATAAAATCAAACATCAACGAAAGTAAACGATTAAACCGATACATTATTCAAATATAATCATTAAGCATGCACTACGGATGGTTAACCTTGTTGCTTTGATCTTTTTTATCTTTACTATTCGTAAGTAATGATTAGATATTAAAAATTTGATTGAAAAAATATATATATATATATATATATATATCTATGTAATAAAGATGACGTCAATTGGTAATAGTGTCTCCAGCACCATATGTAGATAGACAATGATTCTTCACTGAACGGTCAAGTAGTAGCATATCTTGTATACAAATTGAATGTCGTCTTATTGTTGGACATAAAATCATTCTTGAATATAGTTTAGTTACAGAAAGAAATGATAGAATAGATAAGCTATGCTCATGTCAAACAATACAATCAATAAAACGGCGTCAAGCTTACTTCTATTCTTTTTTAATGTATTCATCATTAAGAGCTTTCTTACTCTTCGGTATCGCTCGAATTTCAATGACATATTGTTCAAGTGATTTGTTGATTTTTTATATAGAAAAAAAAAAAAACCAATTCGAAAGACAATTGCAAGTGAGGAGGAAGGACAATGGACATTGTTCCAAGCATCTTGCATGTTCAATTTCGAAGAAACTTTCTAATCAGAGTCTATGATCTTTCAGCACAAAAAAAAAGGAGAAGTTAGATCATCATTTCTTTCCTTGCCTTCATTTAGAATAACGAAGAAAAAAAAAACAGCATGCAATGTCCGGTTTATATTATTGTTCTTCATTCTTTTATTTCTCATATAGGTGCTCGTCCTACTTTAACCATTGAGCAACAATTTTTTGAATTATCTACTATAACTGAACAAGAACATACTGTAACCAGTGTACTTATGCAATCAGTGATATTACCTTGTAAAGCTATTTTACTCATTATGGAACCTGAAAAAGTAAGATTTCAAAAAATTTAAATTTCATTTTTCTTTTTAATTTCAAAAATAGGTAATGTGGTATAAAACAACCAATTCTGTTCAATCACCTTTAAGTGTTGGCAAATCTTTAATAACAAAAGATTCACGTATAAGTGTTGCCTATTATAGTTTTGATCATGGACTTTCACCTGCTAAATGGGATTTACATATAACAGATGTACGTTTATCGGATGCAGCTCGTTATCAATGTCATGTTATACAAAAAGATGGTCGTATTTCAGCTCGTTCTAATGTTAAACTTGTCGTTGAAGGTAAAAGAAAGAATTGATCAAAGAAATAATGATTAATTGAGATATATACATATGTACTCAATGTTTATATGAAGAGAACCAGACATATCTTATAGACAGAAAAGATAATCACGGTTGAATAAAAGTTGAAGAGTAAACAGATATATTCCATGAATAAAATAATCTCAAAAAGAAAAAAGAAAAAAGAAAAAAGAAAACTAAGACATTGAATATCAATAGAAAATAAACAAGTGGAAAGATTATAACTCTTAATTCTTCTAGACATAATTATAAGTATTCAACCAAGTGATGTTCTTTTATCAATTGGTGATAAAACAGAATTTTCTTGTAATTTTACTGGACAACATCGAGTACGACGTGATAAAATAACTTGGCTTAAAGGTAAAATTTAAAAACAAAAAATTTCTTTTTTTAAACTGTTTTCTTATTTAATAGATGGTAAACCACTCACATCTGATGCAAGTCATATAACAACATCAACCGAATTACCTAATGTAACAGTAACTGTTTTACATATAATTGCATCTCGTCCAAGTGACAGTGGTTCATATCGTTGTTCAGATGGTCATAGTGCTCAAAGTAAAGAAGCTAAATTATATTTACGTGATGGTAATTTACATACATTTCTTCGTTCTTTATCATCATCAACTTCTATTTCGAAATTTTTTTCATATCGAACAGTTTTTTGTTTATTCATTTTTCTTTTTTTTTCTTTACAATAAAAACATTTTTTCAGTACTTCTAAAACAACAACAACAAAAAAAAAGAAAAGCGTAGTGTTGATATCTTATCTAATTCATTTATTCATCTCTCTTTGATAAACATACACACACACACACACACAAGCATAGTCTCAACATGCTTAACGCTGTGCAATCGAAAGAAGCAGCTATTCAAATTGAAGTCACGTCTCCCGAAATTCGTGGTGTAGGTTCAAAACGATATGTTGATTATACCGTTAAAGTAAAAACAACATTACCAATATTTAGTCAAAATGAATCAGTTATTCATCGACGTTATTCAGATTTTGAATGGTTACATAAAGAATTAGAAAATGCAGATACAAAAATAGCTGTACCATCATTACCTGATAAAGCTTGGCAAAGACAATTACCATTTCGTAAAGATGATGGACTTTTTCAGGACGATTTTATTGAAGAAAGACGACAAGGTCTGGAATCATTTATTAATAAAATAGCTACTCATCCATTAGCTCAAAATGAACGTGCTTTACATGTATTTTTATTTGAACCCGAAATTGATTTAACGAAATATGTACGAGGCAAAATAAAAAAATAATTTGATATTAATTAAAGAAAAACTTTTATTGCCTGATTCTTTTTTTTTTTTTGACAATTTTTCAAAATTGTTCTCCTCTTTTTTTTTTTTATTTATTTTATGTAATACATTTTTGAAATTGATCTATTAAAAAATCTTGATTAAGATTTGATCCAATAATAACTAAACAATTTCGTAAATTATCATGATGATTTTCATTTGTAGTAATAAATTCATACATTTGGCCAACAGCTTGAAGAAGTTTATAGGTTGATTCATTACGTAGACAAAGAACACCCTGTATGAAATAATCAAAAAATAATATATGAGAAAAGAATAGTTGTTTGATGATTGACATACTTTCATTCGAACGATTTCTTGAATTGTATTTTGTTCGTTCCATAAAAGTTGAATTATAAGTTGATCAAGTGCATTGAAATCAAATTCACCATTTAATTCAATTGTTATAGAATTAAGTGTCTAGAAAATATTGATAAAAGATGATAAAATTGAATAATTTATTCGAAAAAAAAAAAATACTTGATGTCCATGTGGAATTGATATTGATGTTTGTTTTTCAATTTTTTTCAAAAGATAATCAGTTGGTGAATCATTACTGTATGCATGTCGATCAAGTATAAGAGATAGATCAATACTAGAAATTTTACATGTTAGATTTTGGAAAAAATAAAATAATGTTTACCGTGAGCGTGTTGTTTCATAAATTTGAGCCGTAACATTAATTGATCTAATATACAAAAAAAAAAAAAAAGAACAAAGTATTATTTTATTAAAATAACTTATTATAACATACTGAACAATTGAAAGTACTTTCATTTTTTCTTCTTCCGAAACCAAATCAATTTTATTTACCACTACGACATCGGCCATTGCTACTTGTCTATTAGAAATCTTTCATAAATATTAAACTGTTCTTTTCCTATAATCATATACCTTGACCATAATGCTTTTGCTTGATGACGATCATCTTCATAATTCTATATGTATAATGGAAGATAATTTATATTTTATTTTTTTACTTTCAGTCCATTGTGAGCATCGATTACTGTTATTAAACCTATAAAAAATTATCAAAGTAAGTCAAATTTAAATTTTTTTTTTTTTTTTCTACCATCAAGAATTAAATCACTATGTAATTCATCGTCAAGCCAAAACATTTTCACAATTGGAAGTGGATCAGCAACGCCAGTTGTTTCTAATAGAATATAATCAAAATGATTTCGTCGTTTTTCAAGCAGTTGTTCAATAGCTTGTACACCTACATCCCTTTTTATATAGAATTAAGAAAAAAAATTAAAAATAACAAAAATATTCGTTTCTTTCGTTTTTTTTTCGTTTGTTTCAATTTTATATCAATACTCTACTTGACAGAACAACATAAACAACCGTTGCGTAGTTCAAGCCAATCTTGGTATTGTTGACGTCCATTACCATCATTTTCATTTTTTGTTGTTGTTAATAGAAGATGTTCCATGGCACTACCCTGAGCAAATTCATTTAAAATAACAGCAATACGTTTTTGATGATTTTCAGTAAGAATATAATTCAATAGTGTTGTTTTACCAGCACCTATTAAAATATAATAATCATTAGAATTATGTTATATATATATATATATAGACATCTAAAAACACACCAAGATAGCCAGTAAGAATTGTAACAGGTACTTTAGCAGATGAAACAGTTGTTTCATCGACTAATGTCGGTATACAATCATCATTATCGTCGTTTTTCATCTAAATCAATAAAGTTTGCAATATTATTTTATTACAAATCTCATCAATAAGTTCTGTTTTTTTTTCCTTCTTTTCTGAAAAAAAAAAGAAAAGATGTTGAAAGTATTGACTTGTTTTTTTTTCTGTTTGTGTAAGTGAACGATACAATAGAAGCATAGAAAAAAAAAGTAAGTTGTTAAAAAACACTTTTCTATCGACGTATGTTTGTTTTATTTTATGTGTTTGCTCTCAACTTTAAATATTTCTTCCAATCTAACTTGACTATATACCATTGAACTGGTTTAACACAAAAAAAAAAAGTAAATTTTCTATTAGTATTTAAATACTCCATTAGATATATATGGTTCGACTAAAGCGGCCTCTAAAAAAAATATCAGAGATGGCAGAGATTAGCGATTGATTTTTAATTTTTCTTTTAGAAATTTTTCTTTTAGAAATAATCATGTCAGGTTATGTGACTGTTAATCGTCTTTCACTTGTTCAATTACATACTGAAGAACGTAAACAACAAGCTCATCTAAAAAAAATCGCTGAAATGCAACGTCGTGCTGGTATAGATAATAGGAAACCTGCATATTTTCCTCATCGTAATATTAGTTTTAATAAACATGAAAAGCAAAAATATCGAGATATTGCCAATGAAAATTATGTTAAATCAAAAAAATTAATCGATATTATGCAATCAAAAGCAGTTTATCCACCATCATCATCATTTCATTCTACAAATTCAAATCGTTATCGTCGTCCATCATTAACTTTATCACAAAATAAGACAGATTATGCTGAAAAAATTTCAAAAGTCAAAGGTATCTATGATGTACGTAAATGGAAACAAGGATTTGAAGAACATAAAGAACATTTAAAAATAAGTAAAAATAATAAATTATTTACACCACGTGATATTGGTGTTAATCGACAACGAATTAAAATTAATTCTGTAGCGAATACTGGACAATCAACAGTTTCATCATCAAAAAATAATCTACATCATTCATTTGATAATCATGATTGAATTTGAATTGTATTTTTTTTTTTTTGTGAGGGGGGCGAGAATATTAATTTTATTCGTTATTATATAAAATCATTTGAGAATTAAACAAAGTTATCAAAATATATAAAACTTTAAAATATTGTCAAAGTTTTAAGTGTCATTGTTTTTTTTTTGCGTTCATGGTGAGCGACGAAGGTATTGATTCATCACGAACAAAACCTGATGGCTGAAGGTGACTTTTTTTTTTTAAAGAATTAACTTTTGTTTTCATTTCTAACATATTCGTTGGCAATGACATAAGTACATAAAAAAGTTTATTAAATTGAATATGCAGATTAATAAGAAATATAAAAATGGTTGCAGATGTGAATTTTTCTATTTATTTCATTTACCAGATTAACACACTCGCACGTAAAATAATACTCAGGGCATACGAAGAGTAGTGATTTTGAGAGATGAAATCCCACATGAAAGAGTTAATTAAATATTTACTTCAATAAGTATTTGAGCTAGTAGTCATACTTAATTATACAGAATGGTCCAAAAGTAAGTCGGCAGTCTTGGATTACGAATTACTTTCGATAGGAACAAGAGAGAGAGCTACGGTTTTTATCGTTCGAAAGAGTAGATGGAGACACATCGAACTGTATAATATAAAATAATTTAACCTAATTTTTTCAAGGATTTAAACCGATCTACTCTGTAAGATTGAATCTTTCATGATCAGATGTGCATTCGAATTGCTAGTCGAAAACCTACAAAGCTCAGACTTTGATAGTTACGCTTTTAGAGTTATAGGTATTCTACTCAAAATTCTGAGCCGATTGTTCTATTAATTCCTGTGAAAAAAGTCACTTTTTGGCATCTTTCTTATTTTATAAGAAACTATTTTTCCGACAACTTTTTTAGAATATTGATTAAGAGCACATCTTAGAATAACCTATAATCTATGATTCGATGCATCTTCATCTACTCTTTCGAACGATGAAAACCATAGCTCTCTATCTTATTCCTATCAAAAGTTATTCGCAATTAGCAATTGCTGTTTTACTTTTACACCATCCTGTATATGCGTCATCGGTAACTAAAGGGTTAATGAAATGAGAAGACAAACGATCATCAGCTAACGCTCAAAACATCAAAAGTCAATTTGACAACGTCGAACTATATATATTATATATCCATAAAGATGCTTTCATTATCTTGCATCAGAATGTATCATAATTATTTTATCTTCACTTTATTCTATAGATAAAATACTATGTATTTTTCAGGTGATCGATCTAATTGATAAACATCATCAGTTAAACGGCTTCTAATCACTACGTCGAGCGCCGTAACCAAGATGATAAATTTTTTAATCAAAGATTATCTGAAAAATAGCTTTAAGCATGGCTATTAGCTCCTTTGTAGAATTAAGAAGAACTAAAGAGGAATTTTTCTCGTCTTGCTACGTTCCATTTAAGCATAATTTAAATCATTAAATTACATAGAAATAACCGATAAAATTTCAGACAAATTTTACAACATTCCTTTTTTTGTGATGCAAAGGTACTAAGCAAATAGTTAAGTCATAATATTTTCTCTCGCAGAGATTCTATTGTAGGGTACTTTTGAAGCGAAACGTTTATTTTCTATATTTCATTAAATTAAATCTCGACAACGTAATCGAATAAATGATTTTATTATGGAAAATATATTAGAGCAGTAATGTTAACTCCCTGTTCAAGTAATGAAACTATTTAATTCATTGTGCATGACTTGGAAAGTCATTTAGATTGGATAGAATCTAGAAATTTTAGCCATTCTCTTCCATTCCTGGAAACATTTCTGATTTATATCCATGTCTACGTCAATGTTATCAATGCTTTATTTGCTTTCAAATAATTAAATAATGTATTCATATTCAGACATTAATTTATTCTATTGTTCAAATGACTGCTAGTCAACTAGAATATTTTTTGTAAACATAGATTAAGATTTGATTGAAGTATATAAAGTAAAAAATACGAAAGAAAAATTCGAGTATCCGATATGATAATATGGTACGGACCCACACGGCAAAGAGTATAGTGAAATAAGAGAAACAATATCGGCGCATAGTGATTGGTGTTATCGGTTTTGGGAGAGGCGGAACATAAATTGGACATCGACAGATAGAGAAAATTATTCTCTATCAAACTATATTTTTTGTTTTCTATAAAAAAGTAGCTTTAAAAAGATATTCCAGATGGCGTATTGCCTTCACGTGATTGGTTGAACACATCTCAACGTTGAGTCATATCGCATCATTTCCCTAAGAAATATTTCTCATCATTTAGATAAATATGAACGCATCTAAAAAGAATATTTATATTTCGAAAAATTTCTCTTTGATATATAAATGTATTTCTAAGATGAAATGCATGTTTTTTTTTCATAATAATATGTTTATTTTGAAAATTTAGAGTATGTATGAATCACTTTTCGAGAAAATAGAAATGTTTTGCTATTGAAATAATTTATTTAATACAAAAATTTAAAACTAGTCATAAATTTCAATAGGCGTAGAGAACAATTAAATAAATGAAGAGATTGACAAAAAAAGATAAGGTACTTTGTAGAAAAAAAAATCTTTCAAAACTGTACAGAAGGTCATACAGAATTTAGACAAAAAAAACAATAAATTATTTATATCAATGAAAAAAATTGCTTTCATAATGAAATTTAACACAAATAAGACCATAGAATAAAGAAACAGAACAACAAACGAGACACATTGAAATAAAAAAGAAAAGTTTAATTAAGATCAGGTTGACTTGCAGTTTTCGTTGTGCGAAAGTATTTTCGAAAATGAGGAGTGCGACGAGGTGTTAATGATACTATCAGTGATGGAGTTTTCTAGAAAAAAAGATTCAGATCATTTATGTGAAGATATAAGAAATACTCACAAAATTCAATGATGTAAGATTATTTTTCATTCCATTGAGCTTCGGAGTTGAACACGCATATGGTGATTGAAATACACGTTCGTCTTCAGAAGATTCCTATAAAAAAATAAATGCACACAATGTAATGTAATATACTAAAACGAGTAATATAAATACTGATAATAGTCTACGACGTTTCGACGTCGTAATTTGAAGATTCTTCTTCAAGTAAAATGTATGATCAGTTGCAAAATTCGTTGATTGAGAATGTAGCGATGGGTTCAATATATTAGTATCAGAATATGTAGTGATTGGATCGACGTACGAGTTATTTGATGCCATCTCAGAATGATATTCAGTAATACTCTAGATAATGTAACATGAAAAAATTTTTAACAACCTGGAAAAAAAAGAGAGCTGGATACCAACTGTATCGTTTACGTAGATAGATTGAGATTGTATTGATGTTACATGAAATGAATTACTTTGAATTGATGAAGGTGTTAATCCGAATTTATTCGACTTGATTTTCACTTGTTGAATTGATGAATTGTAAGTCTAAATAAAGAAAAATTTAATAAAAAAAGGAAACTAATAATAAAGTTATTGGAAGAACCAGAATATTTACTCTATTACAACAAAGATCTTGATGACATCTACAAAAAGCTGTACAAGATAAATTATTTTTATAACAGTTGCAACGAGTACAACCACCATAATTCTTCAAAACTGTTTGAATAAAAATCATTAGGTGTATCTTGATCAGGATATAGTGGTAATGGTTTTTGTGTGATGATTGACCGACGACGATGTTTAAAAGAATGAGTAAATATCTAGATGGAAACATGAGTAAAATAATAAAATGCTAATTTTATCAAAATTACTCTTTTTCGTGTTCGTTTCAATTTATCTCGTTTTCGTTTTATACTTTCATTTCGTATTACAACTTCATTTGTACATTGACCATTGATGACCATTTCAAAAGATAAATCATCGTCGTCGGGACTAGCTGCACGTGTATCATCCTTTGAAAATTAAAATCAAGTGTTAAAAAATCTATGTCATTCAGTTAAATCAGTCATTGATAATACTTGAAATATAGTTTCATTTGTTAATGCTGTTTGTGTTGAATCTATTGTATATTTGTCTATTGCTTCAACATCAGTTGACGTTGTAATATCTTCTTCTTCTTGACGATCAGCAAATACATTGTTCCAATTATTCTAAAAAAAATAGAAAATTAATAGAACCTAAATCTACATTTTTGAAAATTCGAGTTTACTACAATTGGTTCAAATACTTCATATGTTAATGCTGTTTGTGTTGAATCTATTGTATATTTTTCTATTGATTCAATATCAGTTGACGTTGTAATATCTTCCTCTTGTCGATCAGCAAACACGTCGTTACAATTGTTCTAAAAAAAGATAGAAAATTAATAGAACCTAAATCTACATTTTTGAAAATTTGAGTTTACTATAATTGGTTCAAACACTTCATATGTGGATGTTGCTTCTGTTATACCACTGGTGATCAATGATGCTTCAGTAGAATTTCTTGAGATAATATCTTGTTCGGATTGTACAAATGATATACTACTACTAGAAATTTGATCATGAATACCAATTAATGAAGATAATGTTGGTGCTGCATTCGAGCTGCACTCAACTGTAAATTCAGAAGTATATTTCTACAAGCAAAAAAAAACATTTGTACGTTAAACTAAAGTCATTCATAAAGAAACTCACTTCATTATTTTCACCAACATAAAATGATTTGTTTCTGTCTTCAGTAGAAAAGAAATTAGATTTTGTAGTAATTGTTGTTGGATGATTTGTAATATCCATTAATATTCTAGCAGGATTTGAATCAAGACATGAATATTTTTTTTTTCGTTTTGGTCTTCCTATTTTATTTGCGACAGATACCGGTTCAATTCCAACAACAAGTGATTTGTAGCAAATTGCATGCACTAATTGATTTAGTAGTGTACCACTTAATTCCTTATTATAACGAGTTTGATATGCTTTACGAACTTTTTCTTCTCGTTCAATTGTGCAAATTTGCGTATACTTGCAACGAGCTTGTCGATCTTTTTTTCCACATATTAAGCATAAAATTATTTTTCCAGGCAACGACGTCGATGAACAATATGGTATAACAAACAGCAATAAACAATTCTTTATTTCTTTTGCATACGTAGACGATTTATCAATAGTCTAAAATGATGACAATAGTCTTTATCATCATATGATGTTTCTATGATTATGTCCAGCCAATATGGTTCATACTCAACGACCAATCAGTGACGATCTCTTAAACCGAACTAGGGCGAGTAAAACTATCACTACCAAAATCATTAAATCACTTTATAAGTTCAAAATATAGTATCAAAAGTTCTTGAAAAAGTGGCAAGATATGTGGCGCCCTCTCTTGGTGCATTTTCCGATATTGATTATTCACTTCGTCGCCTTGTGGGTACGTACCAATAGCTTGTCAAGCCAATCTTATCTTTATATATTTGATAGATGTCGCTTTCTTATGATAAAATATTATTAATTTTTTTTCTTCGAAAACTTTCGTATTTAATTGAACTATTCTTGAATTCTATTTATAATATTAAAAAGATTAGGGTTCATATTTTTTGTATAGCATATTCGAGGATTTAAAATATAAATTTCATTGGTGAAAATTCAACCGTACGATTTCTATTCATTCTCGCTCCTGTTCTTTGTTTGCTAGTTTTTCGTTACTCTGATTGATTTATTAATGCATATTCGGACTTGATTAGTTGTTAGGAACAGAGTTTCTTTTTTTGTTTTCAAATCTATCTCTTGTCTAATCATTTTAGAAAAGTTGAAAGTCACAAAAAAAAACTCCATTGCATTGAGTATTAAGGAAGATTCCTATCATAAACGTTCAATATTATATGAGAATTTCTTGTGAATAGTGATATCGAACGAAGCAAATATATATATACTTGATTTAGGAGAAAACAAAAGAATAAGTTGAACATTTAACTTGATCTGTTCTGTCCTTTTTCATCATCCTCCTCACATTTATGTGTTCTCTTACCCACTGTCCATTCTTAATGATTAAAGGCAGGAAAGAAAAGTGTTCAACTATACGATGTTATTTCTTTTTGTATATGTACACATATGTATAACGTGAATCTCTCTAGGTGACATATAGAGTCGCACAAAAGGAACACACTTGAACATGTACTCATACATATATATATAGGTTCACTGTACATCATCGCGTTCAGCAATAACAGTGTTGACGATGAACACAAAAAAAAAAGAGAAAAAAAGAAAGGAGAGAAAAATGAAGAAAGAACAAAACAGAAAAAAAAAGGTATGTGATGGTAATGATATCTTCACGCAACTACTGCAGAGCTGTATAGATCAATAGAGAATAAACGTTTTGACAGTAAAACGTGCCAGGTACAAAATAAAAACCGACAGAGTGAGAATTGTTTCTGTCGAAATTCAAAAATAGTATGACAACAACTAATGATAGTCTATCACCTTCTGGCTATTTATCCAATCGACCACCGATATCTTTTTCTGCCTATTGTTTCAAAAGCACTAATGGACTTATGCATCGTTCTTTAGGTGAGTGGTTATTTAATACATTTTTTTTTTCTTATCGCTCGAAAATTTGCATGGATGCAAAACGAATAAGAGGAATAAAGTTCATAGTAGTCTCGACAGCTGATATTCATTGTTTTTTACCATATGGAATTAATGAATTAAACATGTTGTGTTAATATGCCTTCGTATTATTTTTTTACTTCTATACAGATATCAAAGATAATTAAATGTCGATTTTTTTTTTTTTGTCGATACACACAAAAAATTTATGATTGTATATAAGTTTGATTAATCTATATATATTTATAAGTATTCACTAAACAAATATATCGTTCTCTTGCTCTTTTAAAAAGAAGAAGAAAAAAAAAAGTTCACTCGATTGTGAATTAAATTTGAACGTGCCATTTAACATTCGCCTACGATAATGTCGTCAGTCACATACGTTGTTCACTTTGACATTTTTCATTCAATTTTTTTTCTCTCTAGATATATTCCTAGCTTGTTATATTTCTATCCATAGTGTGTGTTAGTTAGTCAGTTCTTCTTCTTCTTCTTCTTTTTCTATTCTACTTCTACCAAATTTATTTTCTTCACATGTTGTACCTATCATTATTCTTGTTGTCGTTCGATGCATCATAAAAACTATGAAACTTATCATCAATCAACATCACATCATTATCGATTGGCAACAAGATCTTCAATACTTAAATTAAATAAATCAATTAAAATTAAACGTTTAATTAAATCAAAAAACGGTATAAATTCTTTATTAAATATATATTTATATTCAAAGAGTTGTTTTTCTTTTTCATCTTTCTCTCTCATTAAACTATCAGATTAAAGAAAATTTAATGGGTCATCACTACAGCATCGATATTCATACAAGGAGTATGCCTCATTATTTGTTTTCAATCATTATTGTTTATATGTTAGTGATAATCTCCTAATTAACAATGACAATTTTTCTTTAGCGAAAAGATTAGTTGAACTCCTTGGTATAGCTTTTGATCGATGATAGTAGTGTCGATGCCACATGGTCTCGATCTCATCATCCTGTAGCAACCAATATATAACTAGCAACCGAGAAAGAAAAAAATCAATGATGATTGTATACTTGAGTATAATGATTAGTAGTTGGTATGTACATATATATGTATATACATGTATATATATTTGTACGATTACGTTTTGTTTGTACGATTTATGTATACTTTTATTTTATAAAAATATAAGTGAGTAAGTTTCAAGGGTGTATGCTGCTATGGAAGGCTAACAGGTCACAGCTTCTTTTTGCTTTATTCTATTATATGTATATAATATATCCTTATCATTACTTCATTTTTTTTTCTTTTTGATGTGTCATTGATATAGACGAAAATCGATTGACCAATAAACGAACTAGTGAATGTTATCAACATTCAACACCTTTAACAACTGGCAATATTGCCTTATTTACACAAAATACACAATCTTCATCTCCACTTTATAGCAATCGTCGTAGACAAACGAATTTTGGGAATATGACATCATATTCAGCACTTAAACGTAAAGCACAACGATCAGATATATCTTCAAGTATATCTCGAGTATGATATTTCATTGAAATATTATATAATATTGATAATAGTTACTTTTAGTTTCAAGTTAATCTTGAACATGTCCTTGGTTTTACATCAATTTCAAATGCAGTTGTTGGTCAAGATCATTCAACAATAGTTTATGCTGCTGGGTAAAATCATATTTTACATAGTAAAAATGAACTAATTCTATACATATATTTAGTTCTACTGCTGTTCTTTATGATATAAATACACAAAAACAAGATTTTATTATTAATACAGCTCGTAAAGCTATTACATCATTATCAATTTCACCAGACGGTCGATATTTAGCAACAGGCGAAGTAAATATTTCATTTTTTTTTTGTTTTTACTATGAAAAAAAAACCAAACTAATCTGTTTGTTCATATTTTCAGTGTGGACATGATCCTAAAGTACGTGTTTGGGATTTAACTGGTGACAAAACTGTTTGTATCGAATTAGGCGATCATAAATTTGCTATTGATTCTGTGGTAAGTTGACTTTCATTATTGGATAACACAGATTAGTATGATTTATTCTTTTTCTTTTTTGAGTAGAAAGTTTTCAGCTAATTGGTTATTTCTTCTAGCAAAAACGAAAAGAAATATAATAGAATAAATTTTTTTTCTTTTTTTAGTGTTTTTCACCAAATGTCGATCGTTTAGTTTCAATTGGTTCATTACATGATGGAAATATATATGTATGGAGTTGGCAAGAGAAGAAGAAACTTGCTTCAAATAAATGTACATGTTCGGTAAGAGAATTCTATGTTAATTTTAAATCTTTACTTTTTCATTTTAGATTCGTCGTATTGCTTTTGCTGAAGATGGAAGTTATTTTGTAACAGTTGGAAATCGTCATGTAAAATTTTGGTATTTAATTTCAACAGCATCGGTATGATAACTTGTAGTTTTTATTTAATTAAAATCTCAGCCATTATGAATGCTAGATGCTTAAAAATTTGTGTGCATGTATTTTATCAAAAGTGTAGGTCAGAAACACAATTTTGCTTCGATTACGTAAGTGAAGCCTCATTAGATCCCGTCGGGCCCAGATCTGAATGCTTTGTTTCAATCGGCTCCAACTCCAGAAATTCTGGAACCCCATAGACTCTAAATTCCATCTCCTTTCTGAAGCTTCTCAAGAACTGTTCGATGAAAAATTATGAAACTTTCGCAGTAGATAGATCTGGATAAGTATCTCTAGAAACTATCATTAGGAGAATTTTGCATACAACGAATAATCGCAGCGTGAGGTTTTTTGCTAGGGATTTTGAGAATTGGATTTAATAAAAGTACTAACTAGCAATACAGAGCTCTTAAATTTGACAGAAGATATGTCGCAACTACTTTATCTTTTGAAGAAAGTACAACCATGACTTCCAGTTCCACTTCAAACCATCAAGAATTAAGCATGTATTTGGAAATACGTGCTGAAAAATTGAGTAGGCAGTTCATTTCATTTTAAAAATTCTAATGCAAATAAAAGTATCATCCATCATAATGCCCTTTTGTACCGAAACCATTGAAGCAGAATTGTGTCTCTAACTTACCCACTCTTGACCAAGCATGTACACAAAAATTTTTAAACCTTCAATATTTATCATGGCTGAGATCTTCTAGAGTGAAAACTTTTGTTTGCAACTGTAGATGAACTTTTTTTTTCTTGATAATAGATTGAAGTTGTACCATTACGTGGTCGTTATGCAATCTTAGCTGAACGTAAAGATAATTTTTTTACTGATGTTGTTTGTGGACGTGGTGATTGTGCTGGTATAACTTATGTTATAACTGCAAATGGACTTATTTGTCAATTTGATGAACATCGACAATTACGAGGTGAACGTGATCTTCAAGTAAGAAATAATTTTTGAGAAAAAAATGAAAAAAAGATAAAACGAAATGTCTAATGATTTGTTTTTTTAATTAGGAAAAAACGAATTGTTTAGCTATTGGTGATTTGTATCTTGTTGTTGGATGTGTTAAAGGTGCTGTTTATATATTTTCACCACAAACTCTTGAATATATTATGTCAATACCTTTACCACATTATTTGGGTGTTGATATTGGTTTTATAACATCGATTGAGTATGAAATTCGTATTTGTTTTTTTTTTCTTTTTGATCTTTTCTTTTTCGATTTGTAGTCAAATAATATATCCTCAACAACAAAATATGTGTTTTCCGGATACAATTGCTGTTTGTTTAGATGAAGATAAATCAATGGTGAGAATACTTATTTTACTAACTTTTTTTTTGTTTTGAATAATTTTTCTTATTTTTTAGTTAACATGTTTTTATAATGATCATAGTTTTTATATTTGGGATATAAAAAATGAACAATCAATAAAAAAACGTGATTCTCATATGTATCATTCAGGATGTGGTTGGGGAATTGAAGTAAGATTTATTAGATTTTATTTTCTTTTCCGATTATATAAAAAACGAAAAAAAATTTTTCTTTAGACATATTCTCGAACAAGTATATCACCTTCAATTTTACGACATTTAACTTGTATAACATGTTCATCAGATAATACAATACGTTTTTGGTCATTAAATCATGGTGAAGCTGATTCATATTTTGCTCCATCACCAGCTGCAAATATATTTAGTAGACAATTAATGAAAATTGTCTATTTAGATGAGGATTATTCGAAATTATGTGATAGTCAAACAACTCAAGGTTAGAAATTTGTTTTTTAAAAAAAAGTAAAGGTGACAATAAGTTTCATAGCCATTTTTAACGCTAGAACAAGATATACGTAGACGTAGATTTGTAGAGAATAAGACTTCCTGTATCTTTTGAGATATCAATAGAGGGCGCCACCTTCGATGCATTCTACTGTGATCGCGGCGAGAGTGATGAAATTAATCTAATTTTTTTAGATTGATACGGGTTCTAAATTTTTAGACCGGATCGGACCGATCGATCTACAGACAACAGACCGAGCCTTAAAATGATATCTCGCTCCATAGTGAACTATTTTGAGTTAAATTGATAGCTTGCCACATTTTGGCATAATGCTTCACTATTGACAACAATAGTTTCATTAAGAGCGTTCTCTGAACTATTTGTTAAACGAATTGTTGCGTGATCAGTGAGATTAGACTTGATTTCACTTATTGTTTTTTATATGGATACAATCATAGATCAGAAAAGTGGAAAATTTAGACTGATATGACCGAGCTGGGTAGGTCGGTAACCGGTATCGGTTCCATCTATGCTACACATATCTCGTTCTGAGATCAAAGCCTTATAGTCGCCTTTATATGAGAAATATCGAAATTGAGATAAATGTATCAAAAGACAACTCGTAGTCGGATGTTGCATAAAGAGCATGATTTTACATTTTGGTATCTCATTTTTTCGAAAAATGTTCGATGGCTTCCGTCATCTTCTACTTGAAAAGTAAGCTTTTCTGACTACGGATCTCAGAACTCTCGAAGAAACTTCATTGCAGTCAATTACTGTTTCGTCGTTGTAAGTAAAGAGCATGTAAACCTGCAGGGCCCGTTTTTTGGAATGAAACTTTTTTATTATTATCTAAAAAAAAGCCCTTCTATAAATAACTCACCATTTTTTG